ACCTTGCTTTCGAACATCTTCTACAGCAGCCACAAGCTCCTCCTTGAGAAACTGACTCTCCTTTGCAATTTTATCCCCCTTCTCCAAGAAATTCTCAGTTGCTTGTTCAACAGATGCAGCCAAAACGTGGGCCTTCTTAGAACGACCTCTCTTTTTATTAGAGGGTCCCTTACTGTTGGTGTTTACCAGAGTTGTAACCTAAAGGTTTCATTTTAAAAATTAATTAAATTGCAGTTATTTAAAATGAAAACAAAAGAAAGACTAACAACCTAAAAGATAGCATCAGTAAATTATTCATAAGGAAAAATCGCAGTAAGCATTAAATAACAACTCTTACCATATTTAAGATAAAAAGCAATGATACTAAATTTAGGTTTCAAAATAACTTAGCTTCCTTAATGTGTAAGATAATATACAAATATAAATATAAATGTGTGTGTGTATGTGTGTGTGTGTGTGTGTGTGTGTATAGAGGTACCAGTGATTGAACCCAGAGGCACTTAACCACTGAGCCACATCCCCAGCAGCCCTTTTTTGTTTTATTTAGAGACAGTTGAGTTACTAAGTGCTTCACTAAGTTGCTGAGGCTGGCTTTAAACTTGTGATCCTCCTGCCTTAACCTCCCAAGTCGCTAGAAACAGAGGCTTGCACCACCATACCCAGCAATAAAAAATATTTTGACTTTACAAATTAGGAACTTGGGAACACAAAATATTGATTAAAATGGTATTATTTAAAAATAACTAACTTCTGAATCATTGTCTCTGCTGATTGGCTAGAGATCTGTTTAATCCTTCCTTGGAAAATAAAAAAACATAAGAAATGGCTAGTTCAAAGTCCAAATTCTTATTTTATGTATGTAAAGTGTTCAGGTTGCAACAAGATTTCCACAGTTCTCAGCCATGCTCAGCGGTTCTTTGTGTAGGTTGACACTGTTGTACCAGCCTATAAGAGGAAAGGCCAAACTCACAGAAGGTTGTTCATTTAGAAGAAGAAACTGTTAATGACGTACAACTTCCTGAATTTGTGTTTTCTCACAAAAGCCTTATAAGTTCAGTATTTCTAGTTACCCTACCAAGATAATGTGATTATGTTTGATCTCCATTTTGGTGTTTTTTCAACAAAGTTTTGTTTGTAAGCAAAAAAAAAAAAAGAAAGAAAGAAAGAAAAAGAAATAAGTTAAGATATCTCTCTTCTATGTCACCATGAAGTTCTAGAAAGATTAACAATATGAGGGCTGGGAATATAGCTCATTTCGAAGATTGCTTGCCTAACATGCACAAGACCCTGGGTTCAATCCCCAGCATCACAAATAAATAAATAAATTGACCATGAGTTTCACCAGAAAGCCACATTTTGTCATTGTTTCAATCTTTACAAAACATTTTTTAAGATAATTTGCTTCTGAAGTCTTTGTTCAGTTTATTCTCACAAATCTTAGCAATTAATTAGTAAAGGTCATTAAAAAGAAAAGAGTCACTATCCACAGAAGCCTACTGTGATGATGCTTTAAGTCCCAGAATACTAATCAGTATTAATATGTTTAATACCTTATGATCCGTAGGTTGAAATGATTAAGGATTTGTTATAGTGTAAATCTCCCAAACAAAAGACGTACTGACAGCTATAGTACATGGGGTCCAGAGAGTAAATATTCCACTCTTACCATACACTCCTATATATAGATAAATAAAATACTAGTTTACATCTGTAAGTTGGAATAGAATTTTTTTAAAAGATTGTCAATGCTACTCACTTGATATATCTCATTCTCTCTCACACATACATGTAAACTATACCAAAATACTAAAAGTGCATAGCTAATTACTGACAATTGATAAATGCCATCACATTATGATACATGTATTTGTAACAGAATACCCAAAACTATGCCCTCAAATTCAATTACCTGCTAATTAATCCTACACAATGAAAGGGCATTAAGCTGGGGGCTAGGGTTATGGCTCAGTGGTAGTACACTCGTCTGGTATGTGAGGCACTGAGTTCAATCCTCAGCATCACATAAAGATAGATAGATAAAATAAAGGTATTGTGTCCATCTACAACTAAAAAAAAAAATATTAAAAAAAAAAGAAAAGAAAAGAAAGGGCATTAAGCTGAGTAAGGAACCTTAATAAGGATCCATATCACAACTTCCTTGAGTTTCCCCTTTAAGGAAGGGTGAAGTTCTCTGCAAAGTGCCAATATCTAAAAATCTGCTCTATAACAACAGCCTCCACTATTGGCAATACGACGGACTCAAAAAAATTGTAGCAATATGTTGTAACGGATTAAATAAATCTCGGTATCAATATTCAATTATTAGATGAGCCAAATCATATAAGAACTATCACACTAAATTCAACCAATCATATTAAGACTTTGAAAGAAATAACCTTGATCTACTCAAGCCTACTGCTATAGAACCATGCTACAACTATGTATTTGTGTTTTCAGATTCTTACCTGTGTAACAAGAGGCTCCAATAGTCTTTCAACTGCCAAAGTCCTGATCTCTAGACTTTTGGGGTCCCATTTGAAGTTTATGTTGCCTGTATGAACAGCAGTCATTTCTAAGAGAGAAATCAAAGGCCAAAGTCAGGCAAATATCAAAAACAATCGTGAAATATACATATAACAAATATTCTCCAATTTAAAGACTTTTATATAAGAAAAGCTATATATATATACAAGGTAAAATAATTATAACTAGCATGCACATGAGACCCAGTAACTTTTACAACCTCTTAACAATTTTGAGTTTACAAACATTAAGGGTACAACAAGTACTCTCAAACACATAGATCTTTTCCCTTTGGGCTGCTCTGTTACCTAGACATTTCTATTTCCAGTTTTCCACCCTACCTTTAGAAGCAAGATGAAAAGCTAACATGAATAACAGCTTTTTTTTTTTTTTCCCTTGGGCTGGGAATGTAGCTCAGTGGTAAAAAGCTTGCCTAACTGCACAAGGCCCAGGTCAATCCCTAACCCAAAAAAAAAAAATTCTTTAAAAAAAAAAAAAAAACGAATACAAAAGATTCTAATTTTTCTTACTCCACAACAGTTATACTGCAATATTAGTTAAATAGGTATGCATGTGCCCACAGTCCCAACTACTTGGGAAGCTAAGGATTGCTTGAGCCCAGGAGTTTAAGACCAGACTAGAAAAGATATCAAAAAATTAAAAAGAACAAGAATAATGAGTGCAACTACTTATAACTGAGAAACTGATGTGACTCCATTTTTGAAAATAAATAAATAATACCAGCTTCTACCTCGAGGCCTGTCCTAAGGAAGGGGGCATGACCCTTGTCCTGGGAAAAAACCTACAAAGCACTCCTAAGTACATACCCATCGTACTGAATTGTTTGTCTGCAAATAACAGGAGAGTTCTGTGGCGCCAGGTGTCCCTGACTCGGTTAGGCTAGGTGAGGACCCATAGTAACCCCCTAACAACCACCAATCAACTTGAGACAAGGAAAATACCTGGAATGCCAGATGACCCCTAGTAGTTTATGGTGGTTAATAACATGTTGAGAAACCATGTAGTTTCGCATGTATACCCCTTGTGGCCTAAACCAATCAATTCAAAGGAATCCCCTTCTTGTACTAACCAATCACCCCTACCCAACTTGTTCCTGCCAGTGAATGAGCTAATCAACATTAAGATTCTTGTTTGATTTTCCCGAGGTATGGAATGATTTGCTGTGTGATGTTGTGACGCATAGAGTATCCCCCCAAAACCTATAAAATCTCACTGGACAAAGGACCAGGACTCACTCCCTGGGACCACTGCATCGGGAACGGCTGTGAGTCCAGGCTCGAGCTTGCAGTAAAAACTCTTGTGTGATTGCATCGGATTCGGCTCCTGGAGATCTACTGGGGTCCCATGAATCTGGCATTACATAACCAAGTACATAAATACCCTTAGGATCACAGGTTATGGATCCTCAAAAGAAAAAAAAGCAGCTGGGTATTGAGGTGCACGCACACCTATAATCCCTGCAACCTGGAAGGCTGAGGCAGGAAGATCACAAATTCAAGGCCAGCCTAAGCAACTAGGTCTTTTAAAAAATGAAGTTTAAAGGGCTAAAGATATAGCTTAGTGGGAGAGTACCCCACACACACATTCAACCCCCCCAATACCATAAATCAAATCAACTTAAATTTTCCAGTAGCCACATTTAAAAAGATTTTTAAAAAACTGGATCAAATACATTTTAATATATAGTTAGCCTAACATATACAATGTTATCATTCTAAGATATAATTAATATTTTCAAATTAGAGATACTTTACCTAAGCTGTAAGTATTCAAAATATGGTATCTATTTTATACTTAGAGCAAATCTCAACTTAGACATGCCACAATTCAAGTATTCAGTCGCCCTTGCTACCTGACTACTACTAGACAGTGCAATACAGACCCTTTTTCAGACTCTTTCAAATTCAAGTAATATAACTGAAAAGGTTACAAAGGAAAAACATGTTAAGCTAGGTGAAGCAACTTGGGAGGCTGAAGAAGGAAGATTTCAAGTTTGAAGCCAGTCTCTGCAACTTAGCAAGGCCCTAAGCAACTTGGCAAAAGCATCTCAAAATAAAAAATAAAAAGGGCTAAGGAGGGCTGGGAATGTGGCTCAGGCGGTAGCGCGCTCCTCTGTCATGCGTGCGGCCCGCGTTCAATCCTCAGCACCACATACCAACAAAGATGTTGCGCCGAGAACTAAGAAATAAATATTAAAAATTCTCTCTCTCTCTCTCTCTCTCTCCTCTCTCACTCTCTCTTTAAAAAAAAAAAAGATCAGGAGAAAGGAAGGTAGATAGGTAGAAAATATATTGAAATGTACTTAAAAACTATTTTACAAACAATGTGTGATACAGTAATATGTTTCTATATTAACACATTAAATAAGATTTGACGAGGATCTGACAAGAGGTCTCTGATAACTATTATGAAGTATAAAGAAAATGAACATTTGAGAAACTAGCCTCTACCTCAAAGCAAAGCCTGTCCTAGGAAGGGGGCGTGACCCTTGTCCTCAGAAAGAACCCACAGAGCATTCCCAGGCACATACCCACCCCGCTGAGTTGTTTATCTACAAATAACAGGAGAGATCTGAGGAGCCAGTTGTCCCAGACTCAGTGAGGACCCATAGCAACCCCCTAACAACCACCAATCAGCATGAGACAGGGAAAATACCTGGGATGCCAGGTGGCCCTCCCAGTAGTTTATGGTGGTTGATAACATGTTGGGAAACCATGTAGTTCAGCACGTACACCCCTTGTGGTTTAAACCAATCAGTTCAAATGAGTATCCCTCTTGTACTAACCAATCACCCTTACCCAACTTGTTCCCACCAGTGAATGTGCTATTCATGTTTTAGAGTTGTTTTATGATTTTCCCACGGGGTGTGATGATTTGCTAAGAGATGCTATGATGTATGTTAAGTCCCTGCCTTTCCCAAAGAGTGTATAAAACCCTGGGCTCAGGGTGCGTGCAGAGGACCAAGCTAGCTCACAATAAACACCTCTTTACTGCTTACATTGATCTTGGTCTCTGATGGTCTTTTGGGGATCCCAAATTCAAGCAGAACCCATTGTTTTCAAGCAGAACCCATTGCTAGCCTCAGCAATTTGAAAAATCGCTGTCTCAAAATTTTAAAAAAGGAAAAAAAAAAGGGGGGGGAGAGTGGGGAAGGCTGGAGATGTAGCTTAATGGTAGATTACTTGCCTAGTATCTGCAAGGCCCCGAGTTGGATTTCCAGTTGTAAAGTCCTTGCTTAACATCTGGATGGCACTTAAGCCACCATTTTAAGATTTCCCCACCCAAGGCCCTTTCTGAGAAAGGCTCACTACTCCCTCATACCAACCCCAGCCTTAATCGCTTGCTTTAGGACCCGCCCAGCTCTTATCCCAGAGCCTGCCCCCAAAAAAGTCATGGAACCCAAGCCTGTATTGCCTCTCTCCATCTATGGAGAGATGGCCTTTATTTGTCAGCTCTGACAAATAAACTCTCATGTGTATCTCTGCCTGGTCTCTTTCATTTCTTGCTCACCCATCTCCAGGTTCCTCACTTTCCTATCACCAGTACTGGGAGAAAATAGGAAGGCAGGGTGGGAGAGAACAGGAAGGAAAAAGGAATCGTAGAACCACAGAAATGGAAGTGCCAATCTAGATGTGTTTATCTAATCTCGTAACACAAAATGTCAGTTTCCAGAGAATTTATTTCACTGATGTGGGCAAATTTGTCCTCTATACTCATATTATGTCAGGCCTATACTTTGTTCTTTAAAGGTTATTTGTCCACTAAACTGATCAACCCATGTCAGTAAACCTTAGGAAATGGAATGCTCTAGATTGCTAAGGGGCTACAGGCAGCTCAATAAATGTCATCAAATGTCACAGATAAGACATTTCAGAAGAAATTATTTGCCTCATGGATCCTGCATTTCTAAGCATATCAGATACTACTTCAACACAAATAAGACAGTGAACATTTCAGGATTGTAGAGGGAGGGAGCCAAGAGGTAGCAATAAGTAAAGCTAGCTCAAAGTGAACATTTAGATTACATTTGTATTTAATTAAGCAAGAACAACATACCACAATTCACTTTCCCAAAAAAATACACTCTCCTATTTTTTCTGAAATAAAAGACTTCTGGGTCTTCTGTTCTCCTAATTTTGATACTTTAGAATACAAAATATTAGGGGTAGAGGTGTGCTTGGGATTGAACCCAAGGCCTTGCACATGACAGGAACATGTTCTACTACTGAGATATACCCCCAGCCCCATTGACTTCTTAACTTAAAAAGTGGGGAATTGATCTCATGAAAAATCAAAGGGAGATCAGTAGAATAGAGGAGGAAAGGAACCAGGGGTTGGGAAAAAGTGAGAGAGGGGAGAAGCACTAGTGAGTGATAGTAGCCAAATTATATTGTCATATTGTGTACATGCATGAATATATAACAACAAATCTCACTATTATGTAGAACTACAATGCACCAATAAAAAAAAATATATATATATGGGGGCCGGGGGCATGCAGAATATAGACACAATAATAAACTGCAAATGACACCCGGCCTCTCCAGGTGAGTGTATTTTGAGGGGAATGGGTGACACTGAGAGAGGCCAAGCCGGCCAAATCAGTAAGTCTGTGCCTTGTTGCCCTTCCACTCTAGGCAATTTTGTTATCTGGAAGATCCAGGATTACCAGATCATCTGGTTTTCTGAGAAGCCAAAAATGTAGATATTTACATGAATCTCCCAATGTTCATGTCAGCAACAATTCCCCCCACACACCAAAAAAAAATTTTTTTTAGTAATGTGGATTGAATTCAGGAGCACTCAACCATTAAGTCACATTCCCAACCCTATTCTGTATTTTATTTAGAGACAAGGTCTCAATGAGTTGCTTAGCACCTCACTTTTGCTGAGGCTGGCTTTGACCTCGAGATCCTCCTGCCTTGGCCTCCCCAGCTGCTGGAATTACAGGTGTGCACCACTGCACCTGGCTGCCAAAATTTTACCACTGTGACAAACATGTTTGGGTACTATGATTGCCCTGTTGGT